TAAAAAAAAAAAAAAAAAAAAAAAAAGAAAAAGAAAGAAAATCCGTTCGAAGAAATATTTAACTGTAATAGAAATAATCATGATTCTCGATAATCCGAATATCTACGAAATTATATCGAAATATAATATTTGCAGTCCTCTTTAAAACCTCCACCTCCACCCCAAACCAGATTATAATCTATTCCCTCCAAAAAAAAAAAAAGAAAAAAATTCCACCAATTCAGACTTTAAATATATTTTCGATATAAGTTAATTAATAAGAGAAAATAATAATCGCGAATAATAATAATAATAATAAACGTTTAATAAATAAAATTCTCATTGATTTATCGAAATAATAATTGATCGCGAAGTATGAAGAAATCCTCTCTAGGATTATAAAAAGATCACGTAGATCGATAGGGCAAATCGATCGAACGAACGAACGAACGATCGATCGATCGATCGATCGATATTAATTAAATTCATTGAGTGGAATTGTATTGGTAAATGTTTGAAACAATAAATTTGCGACGGGGCGTTTCTTGTATAACGTTGGAAAGATAAAAAGATAAGAGTAGAGTATCTGGTGGAGTAGAGTCGATGGAAAAATTCCATAGACCCTAAACTCGGTCGAATCTTTATGTTGTCCCCCTTTTTGATTTATTTATCTCTCTCTCTCTCTCTCTCTTTCTCTCTCTCTCTCTCTCTTGCTATTTCTTTCTTCAAACGTTATCTTCAGTGAATCAATGAGAGAAAAAGAGAAGGCAAAGAAAACCAGGAGAAAGAGAAAAAGAAAGAAAGAGAGAGTGAGTGAATGAGAGTGAGAGAGAGAGAGAAGAAGAAGAAGAAGAAGAAGAGAAAGAGAAAGAAGGAGAGAACTTTCCATGCGTCTTTATTCGTTGTTATCTGTCGGCTACTGGCGCTTCGTCTATTAATCCTCAGCAATCAAGGGTTGACACTCTTATTGACCCCCACCGGGGGGGATTTTGCCAACGACACACACACCAGACGTGCCTCCAAGAGTCGAGGAAATGATTGGGCCAATTAACGTCTTCGTTGTCGTTGTCGTTGTTGTTGTCTTCGTCTTTTTATTTGTCTTTGTCTTCTTCTCATCATCGTCATCGTTTTTATCGTTTCCATTGTTATTGCTGAGACATTAACATAGTACATATCGATATACGATCGAATCGTATGTAATAAACTTCTCCATTATTCTTTTCGAGGTTACCCTTTCCTTCGACGAATAGTAATCATATATCGGGTATTATGCATTTCTTCGAATTCATTCGAAGAAAAAGACCCCCCTGTACAATGGTATTTTATTTGTTTCGTATTTAATATTATAAAATGTTGTTAGGTTATTTATTAGAATGATAATTAATCGAAAAGTGGAATATAGACGAATTGATTTTTTTTTGTATTGATTTTGTATTGTTTTTTTTTTTATGGTAGATATACTGATGGATGTGAAATTGATTGTTATTTTAAATGTTATATTATTAAGGTTTGCCAATAAGTAATGATGAGGATGATAATTTTTGAACAATTTMTATTTAAATATTTGAATAATCAAAGAATTCCATTGTATTTTGTATTTAAATAAATTAGAAGAATATTTTTGTTGTTAATGACAAATTTTCATATTATTAATTTGCAAATTATTTGAATATACGTTTTACACAGCTAACATTTTCCTTAAATTATGTTGCCTAAACTCACGGATAATAAAGGATAATTATATAAAGTTGAATATTTTTAAATTACTCTTTTAAAATTACTTACGCACGTCGATTATAAAGCTTTGTTTATAAATGAAAATAATTAAAAAAAAAAAGTACAAAATTTTTCTTTTCTTTGTGCATTCCTGATTTCTCTGTAACAATTTAACATATTTTACGGGGAAATACCTAAATAATATAGCAATAATTATAATAAAATCATCCAAGACAATATGTTTAAATTGTTAAGATAAAATAATAATAATTTCTTTTATTATAAGAATAACAACATTTAAAGTTATTAAAAATAATGATCATAGTTGGAAGTTAATAAATATCGATGTTTTACCATGAAGCCAATTTTCTTGGAAGTTTTTCTTCGATGTATTAAATAGACAAGCACGTATTACATAACACGTGGTGGGTAGTATAATATTAATCAATGTGTTAGTACATCAAACACATTTTTAGATCATTCATGCGTGTAAAACGAATCTCATCATCCAGGCTGGAGAACATTCATACGT